TTACATCTTCCTCACGCTGGGCGGAAAAAAAGGATGCACTCAGGACGACACCTCGCGAAGGATTTACCTAAGTGGAACATCCGAAAGCTTGACCCGGACAAACTGAGAGCTAGTCTCGCGATAAGTTTTTGGCCGAGGTTGAGAGCGGCTGGAGCGGAGGAAATGGCTCTACACCTGCAGGAAGCCTTGGTAATAGCTTCGGACCTGGCAATGACGCGCCATAGGTCCAATAGAAAAAAGGCAGCATATTGGTGGAATGATACCATTGCGACGTTGAGGCGGGATTGCAACTCTATTCGACGTAGGGTAACTAGAGCTCGCAAGAAGATGGGTGCGGCGGTTCCCTCCTTGGAGAAGGAATTGGCACAGGCGCGCAAAAAACTTAGAAAAGAAATCAAGAATGCCAAGAACGATGCATGGAAAGAGCTTATGGCCACAGTTGATAAGGACCCATGGGGCCGACCATACAAAATTGTGTCGAGGAAACTCCGCCCGGCTGAGAAACCGGTTTGCGAAGCGCTTCCCCCGGCCGAGATCTCCCGAATTATAAAAGGTCTCTTCCCATGTGTGGAAGAGGAAACACTACCCAGGCCTAAGGAACAGATCCAGTGGGACAACGATTTCGAGATCACGGACGAAGAAATTAAATGGGCCGTTGGGAAAACCAAATACAGTGGCAAGGCTCCCGGTCCGGATGGGATTGTTGGTGGAGTCATCAGAGTAGCTCTCCCTGAAATTGCGGAACCGCTTAAGCGTTGTTTCACGACCTGCTTGCGAGAGGGAGTTTTCCCCAAGTGTTGGAAAAACGCAAGACTGGTACTGCTAAAGAAACCCGGCAAGCCGGACGGCCTTGCATCGTCATATCGTCCGATATGTCTTCTTAACGAGCTAGGCAAGATGCTGGAGCGCATCATTGTCAAAAGAATAAGACGGTCCCTTAGCGAAGGTGTCGGACTATCGGAACATCAATTCGGCTTTCGTGAAAAACGTTCCACCATCGACGCAGTACTTGAACTGAGGAAGATCCTTGGCCCAGTATATGGAGAAGAGAAGAAACACGCAATTGCAGTTTCTCTCGATATCTCTAATGCGTTTAACTCCCTCCCCTGGGAGACGATCAGGCGGGCGCTGGTCAGTAAGGAAATCCCCAACTATCTTAGGGTGATAACGGATAACTATCTAGCCGACAGATGGATCTCGTGGGTAGACTCTAGGGGCCGTATGAGAAGAGCCTCAATGACGTGTGGGGTGCCGCAGGGTTCGGCTTACGGGCCGGAAAGTTGGAATATTGCATACGACGCGGTCCTGAACATTGACCTCCCACCGGAGTGTTTCGTGATTTGCTACGCGGATGACACACTGGTCATTGCCCTGGGAGATAACTTGGATGAGACTACCGCGCGAGTTGAGATGGCAGTGGCATTGGTCGTGAGGCGGATAGAATCTCTGGGCTTAAGCGTCTCCTCCTTGAAGACGGAGGCGGCTGCCTTTTCCATGGCACATAGATTTGTGCATAATAGGGCGGTGATAGTTAAAGGGGCCTTGGTCCCACTTGGATCGACGTTGAAATACCTGGGTCTTGTGCTGAGTCGCAAATGGTCCTTTCGCGAGCATTTTGCCGGCGTACTCCCTAGGGCGGAGAGGATGTCTCTGGCGTTGGCTAGAATAATGCCCAACCTAAGAGGACCCAATGAGCTGGTCAGACGTCTATTTAGCGCCGTAATCCACTCGGTGATTTTCTATGGTGCTCCTGTCTGGGCCCATACCCTCAGCAAGGATCAAAGATCTGTCAGGGATATTAAAGCCGTGCAGCGCAAAATTGCATTGAGAGTAATAGCGGCGTACCGCACGGTGTCGTACCCGGCGGCCTTCCTGCTGTCTAGAGTTATGCCAGTGGAATTTTTGGCTCCTAGACTTGAAAGCATATTCGCCGACACCAGGGAAATATTAAAGCAGGAGATTCCAATCACGCACCGGATCCGAGAGCGCATCAGAGAGACCGCGTTGGAAAACGCCCTGACCAAATGGGAGGCAGAATACAGAAGGCCTGGAACTACGGCGGTTGCAGTCAGAGGAGCCTTGGCCCCAGTGCTGGGCCGCTGGTACAGGCGGAAACACGGTTTGCTGTCCTACAGGATGACGCAAATAATTACAGGACATGGCTGTTTTAATTCATTCCTTTGTCGAATCGGTAAAGCCCCGAGTAGTGATTGTTCTTTTTGTGGTGAGGGCGAAGACTCCAACATTCACACTCTTGCTGACTGTCCGGCCTGGGCACCCGACAGGGAGGCCCTGGTCAGCGTTGTTGGCCCTGAATTGGACCTAAGATCACTGGTATTTTCGATCCTGCAGACTCCGGCCAGGTGGGCTGCCTTTAGGGAGTTTTGTGAAGCGGTTATGTTCAGAAAGGAGGAGGCCGAAAGGGCTAGGCAAGCCCAGGCTCAGGCTGAGGAAAATTTGTTGGCCGGATTAGCTAACCTAGGAGAGTCGGACGAGGAGTAGACTACTTGTTCTTGTCTACAGACTCATTTGAGTCATTCCTCTGTTCCCATAGGTGTGGTTTTCAACTTAGGGCAGTACTACTTAAGTATTGCGGTAGCCTGCTAGAGGTAAGAGCTTTAGCTCTTGCGATCCCCAGAGGGTGGCCCTGAAGTATTGCCTCGTAGCGGTTCCGGGGTCACCCGCATCGTGTGGTCGGGTCGATTTGTTCTTCCGTGGTGAATTTTTAGTGGGTAGGCGTCTGGACCTCGTCATCTGGTCAGACGAATCCCACACTCCCCCGCATGCAGGCGCGGGGGGTCTAAGAAGATTTTTACACCACGTTAAAAAAAAAAAAAGTTAAGGCAAGGCTACGTTAGGTTGGGGTTCTCTCGCGTGTGTCGAGGTGTGCGGACGTGTCTGCGTGTCGCTCCGTTGTCTCCATATGCGACCGTGCGGAAATAACGCGCCCCGTGTCATTAAAGTGTGGTCAACGTGTGCGGATTGCAATCTTGCATCGATTCGCGGAGTCTCACGGTAGTGAGATTGTTAGTAATTGAGAAATTTGCGAATTTCTAGTGCTGGTTAACGTGGCTGCATGCGCCGACCTAAAACGGCGGCCATCTCTGCGCCGGGCATTTGCGATAACGTGGATGAAAGCATCTCTATTGGGGACCTTTTTAGGCCCTGGCTATACAGTGCGCGCTGCTATTTTAGTGACGGGCAATTTTCTCGGCCCACGATAATTGGGAATCGCTCCGGAGTAGAGCGAAACATACGCGTCGTTCGGGCGGGGTGTTACATAAGTGACACGTACTCCAAAAAACGCGGGAAGACACCGACGGCGTATAGGAACCCTCTTGGTATATACTGCCGTTAGTGAGTGCGGTGTGAAAACGTTATTGCTGGTGCGGGATACTTGCGTGGTCCGGAATTAGCGGATACTACTCTAAAACAGAGTTGAAACGTATCGCTGTAGTGTACTGTGCCGGGGTG